TGGTAACTGCTTCTTAAGTGGATAAGTTTGGTATTGAAGGAGAAGGGTGAACCATAATCGACTTGTTTGGTATTGAAGGAGAAGGGTAATGAGATTGTGAGTTTCCAACCTAGGCACCACATATGGTAATGAGTTCACTGGATTTTTATGAAACCCACAGCTGAAAAGCCAGCGCAATGCAAACAGAGCAAGGAATTTTGTAGTACCTACAATGGTCGTAGAATAGTCTCTATCACATTCATTGATATTTATTAATTCTACTAGAGCTCTTATACCCGTCTTATTTCTAAAACCTCGGATCTCGAACCAATGTGGGATCTAATGTTTGCAATGCTCACAACAAACTCTTCTCATTATCATCTCCCAAGCAAATGTAGTGAAGGTTGTTGTGTTTTTTGTTAAGGCACAAGTCACAACCCAAGTCTCATCACATTACCTATGAATGGGTACCTTGGTCCACTTATGTTCCTTTAGATAATTATCTATGGCTTCATCAAAATTGTCTTTGCATTGCACCTCGACTCATAGGTTTCTTGGTTAAAGCCACTCTAAAATTTGTGGGCCTCTAAGCTCGTGTGGTTGGGTCGGGCTTGATTTGCCCCCATTCAACTTACCGGAAAAGGCTTTTGTATTTATTGTGGATTTTAATCGCGCAAATTTTTTTTTTTTTTTAAATTTTTTGTGAAGGAATCGCACAATTATTTGTTAGTTAAGAATATTTGGTTTGGGCTTAGTGGATAGACTTATTTTTTCGGGTCTTATAACTAGCGACAAAATTTTTCGTTGTTTATTTATCTCACCGTTCGAATGACTTAAACTCAACTTACTTTGATAGAAAAAATTTACTCAAACTACAGTAGTAGTTAGGCCATTTGCATCTGAAAACCTGGTTGTTTTCTTTCTTCTTTTTTTTTTCTTTTTTTTTTTTTTTTTTTGAGAAAGTGTTACTGATTCTAATTATTAGCTTGGGTACCAATTGAGGTATAGAATAGAACCAACAAA